CTTTTCTCTCTCTCTTTTTTTTGTTTTTGTTTACTTTTTTTGTTCACACAACTGAATCTTAATTTCAAAATACTCCTTTTAGGTCTGAGCATTTCATTTATCTGCTTCATGATACTAAAATGTGGTGACAAAGATTAAAATGATTTGGGCAGTATAAATTACTAAGACCTGCCTGTATCTGTCAACAGCTTATAGCTTAATCTCTTAGAATTTCAGGTGACACGGCATCTTTACACAAAGTAAAGCACCTCTCAGGTCTAATTTTTGTTTGCTGGATACAAGAAATGCCTTTAGGCTGCTTTACAGTGTATATATTTATAGCCCGCACATTTTTTATATTCAACTAGTTTCAATGTTCAGCTTCCATCAGATACTACTTTGAATTTTGTTTGAGGAAGTCTGAAAATTAGTTCCCTTTCTGGGTACTTACTTCCATTTCTGCTCTGTCCGTTTCATACTGACACAGTCTGTCCTTTAAACATCTGCATTCTTTAATTAACTCCTTGTTTCCTTCCTCCAGCATCAGAACTCGTCTGCTCATGGCTTCAAGTTTTCCCATGTGATCCAGAAATGGCTCTGGAGTATTAAGTACTGTCTTTTCACTTCTGGCTTCATTTCGAGCAACCTCTAGTTGCTGTCGAAGCAACGTGTTTTCACTTTGTAGTTTACATATTGTCTCCTTCAAGAATGCCTGCTTTGCAATGTATTTGATGACGTCCCCTTGTTTGCTCTGAGACAAGGGTTCAGTTTCCTTGTTTGAACACTGGGCTTGGCCTCGGTCTCTGTGCACACATTCTAATACCAACGTTGTTGGTCTAAGAGCATCTCTCCTGGGATGGAGCTCAATTTCTGGGCCACGGAATTGACGCTCAGCTTCAGGAAGTTGCTGAGGAAGCACCTCGCTGCTATCTTTTGGGTCAGACAGCTCAAAATCCATTGTGTCCTGTAAGTGAAACCCCTCATCTCTTACTCTTTGAACTGTATGCAATAAACTGACATATCATAATTTCCTTTGAAGTGGAAGACTAATCTCTAAGTTTATACAACAAAAACTTTGCAGTAACTGGGTATCCAACTGGAAAAACTTAAGGTGGATACAAATCTCAAACTTTAACCAGAAATCCCCCAAAGTTCAAAAATTTAATTAAAGACAGTGAATCCATGAAAGTTAAAAAGAAACCACAAAAGGATGTTTAAGAAGCTCAGAATCGGAAAGGCCTTTCTTTCTCTGAAATACAACAAACCCAAAAGGCTTAAAATAAAAAATGCATAAATCTGACTACACTTAAAAATTATATCTGACATCTAACCTTTACAGCTACCCCCAAAGTAAGAGCCTTAGCTCTGTAGAAATTGGGACAGGTTAGATTTCCTAAAAAATTCTTTCCTGAGAATATTCCATAAATATTCTCCCTTTCTAACATTTTTAGAGCGAGTTATAAGAATTACATCTACGGATAAATGATAAACCTAAGCACTGTACTAAGCACATCTACAAACATCAGTTAACTCATTTAGCTGTGACAATTCTGGAATAAAGGGTTAAAAACACAAGCAAGCTGCAGGGTTTTCCCCAGGGCTTCTGAGTCTACGACTCTTACACCAAACCAAAGCTACTTCTTTAGGATAAATACATAAACACAAGAGAAGCCTTCTATTTCCCTAATGGTGAATACACTAAAGGTAAAGAAGGTCAAATTTACAGAGCTCTTCTTAGAAAGTCAGGAGACTATTTGCTTCTGCAATAATTTTTATTTCTTCTTCATGCTGTTTATAACAGTAATGGATGTGAAACAGCAGGAAAATACAGTGAACTGTTTTATTAAAAATAAAGTCCTGATCAATAAATTATCACTAAGTATAGATTATGGCGTATCTATCACTATATTCGAAAGCTCCTTGTACTGAAATCGGATACCACATGGAGCAGAGTGTTACCTTTTATCACACGTAGGAGAATGACACCCAAACTACGGTTTCTGAACTGGCTATACTTTTTCCTCCTTACCATCAGTGGAAATGATAAAGTAACCTCTCCATTCATCTATCAAAGGAGTGAGATCACTGCCAGAAACTAGAATGCTTGCCGTTAGTAGCAACAGTTTTGGATCATGGAAAGCTCATCAATTCCTATGGACAATATTAACAGCCTCTCCTTGGATGAGGCCATTGTGAATGTCACTACATCACTGTTGCCGGCAAGTGGATTTGAATTCAAAATATCGCTTTATCCAATAGACCGGAAATGAAACCCCCAGAAAATGTATTTACATATGCAGGCTTTTAAAACCCTCTATACTTTCTGTACCTACAGTTTTGGTTTTTAAACTATATAAGTATACAAATTCACACACACACGTTTGAAGATGACTAAAGAAAATACCTCAGCATTCATTTTCTCATTAGCCTTTTCTGCCTCCTTTTGTTGGGAAAGACGATGGGCCAGGACTTCATCTTGTATTACTTGGGCATTCTGCTCTTGGGAAAGTTCTCTCTGAGCGTCATTTCGCTCTTCTAAAACCTGGAGACATATGACATTAGGGTTTGGGTTTTACACCATGAAAAAAAGTCAAAAAAAGCTTAGGAGGGGAATCTTTAAAAAAATTTTTTAAACCTGTTAATAAGAAGTAGCCTTTTTAAGCACAGGGACCTTTAATGCACATAAATAACTCAAATTCTAATACACATGACAGTTCAATGCATCACAGAGCAAAAACACAAGGGATGTAGTATCATGAAAGAAAAACTTTCTTAGCACTTTTTAACCTGAGTTATAGTCATTTTACAATGTTGTGTCAAATTCCAGTGTAGAGCACAATTTTTCAGTTCTACATGAACATATATATATTCATTGTGACTTTTTTTTGTTGTGAGCTACCACAAGATCTTGCATATATCTCCCTGTGCTGTACAGTATAATCTTGTTTATCTATTCTGCATATGCCTGTCAGTATCTACAAATTTTGAAATCCCAGTGACAGAAAATTTCTTTATAAGGCATTTAACAAGTTCCATCATAGTCTCAAGGTGATTTAGCCTGGATTTTAACTTCAAAAAGCCAAAATTAACACCTGGATTTGAATTAGACTTGTTAATTTGTTCAATGGACCAAAACCGTCAATCCTTATGTTAATGATGAAGCTCAATTTAACTTCCATTCCTTCATTCAGAAAAGACAGAGCATCTATTAGATGCCAAGAACACCAAGAAATTAGTAAATTAAGCTCTAAATGTCATAGTTCATATTTAGGATGAGATAACTTTTATTTGTTTTAAATGAAAATATAGATTAATTCAAAAGAATATTATAAATAATATTGATGAAACAGTGTTAGAGGTATGAAACTTTCACATTATGACTAATTTACCTGATTTGGTTTATTCCTTATGCTCTTCAGTTTGCATTCTAGTGCTCGGGCAGTGCTTTCAAGTTGTTGTTTCAGGTCAACTTGCTCATTGTATTGTTTCTCTTTTCTTTTTAAATCATCCTTACATTTTTCATATAATGTATAAGCATTTTTCTTCTTCTTGTTTTCTTGTTCTAATGTACATCTGCAGTGAAATATGCTTACCTTAAAATTTATTTTGTTAGAAAATTAAAAGTTCACTTTATGATGTGATTCTTCACATGCTCATTTATTACCCTAATGGAATTTCTAGGTTCTCAATTTTTTTTTCATTTCTAAGTCTCACATTTTAATTTCCTCACTTCAATCTCTTCATAAAGATATACACACACACAC